TAAACAAGCATATCGTACTTCTTTTTCTTTCGCACTTTCGGGTATGACAGCGGAGTAATAGTACAGATTATGTCAGCTATCACCGGGGGGAGGGGGCGTTATGGAGCAGAGCTACGCCGCATTCCCCTGCGGTATATCCTGAGGGCCATTTGCGTTGCGTCGCCTCTGATTGCAGCCGCAGGAATGGCTTGCTCCTGCTAGCAAATTGTGCCATTCCCCTACTACGACTTGTTCAAACTGTAGAAATGCTATAAAGAAAATAAAGACAATTGCATTAAAGAGATTTGAAAATATATGAATTTTAGAAACGAAAGAAAAAATTTTAAAAACAAAGACTGAATCTCGGATAATTAAAAGTTGAATTTGAGTCAAAAGTGTTCAGAGAAGTGGGACACGAGAACTAATAGAGAATAGGGACAGAAAGTTTTCGTCAATGACTTTCTAAGAGGAATCAATTTCGTTTTCTTTTACTGTGGGTTGCTTTACAGACCCTTTTTCCTCACATTTAATTTTTCATTCACCCTTGAAATGCGTTTTTCATCTACATTTTTACCTTTTTATTTATGCGAATAAGTAGAATGGCTCAACTCGTTGAGTAGCGCTAGCCTTTCTGCGGCCACAATCAGGAGCGACGCAACGCAAAGGATATACCCTCGGATATACCGCAGGCAAATGCGGCGTAGCTTTGCTCCATAACGCCACGCCGCCGCTATCACCAGCTAGAGTTGTCAGACATATAATCTCGTGTTTTTGTCATTCAGTACCGGTGATTTTTTCTTGTTCGGTGTATGGTTTCTTTCGGTAATGTAAGTGAAGAAGTACTACTGTATCTATTGTCAAATTTCAGTATGTCAAAAGGAAAAATTTAGCTCGATTAATTCAAGTCAAAGCTGAAAATCAGTCCCTGCTGCATATGAAACGTTCTCTGTCCATCTATTTCATCACTGACTTTATCACAGAGAAGTGGCCGAATAATAAGTTGTAATAAAAAAAGTTTGTGTGTACTGATTCCTGGTGACTATCATCAGGGCATAACGAGGTGTGTGTCCTAAGCGCTAATTTTCGTTTGAAAATTGGTAAGAATTGGTAGATTTAAGCAAAAACAGCTAATTGCAGCTTTAAACAGAGGTAGCACCACTCTGCTGCAATCGCTATGCACGCTGCTACCATACGTATAGACCTCGGCGCCAGATGTTTTCAAGTCATAGCGTCAAGTTGGTGATGTCTGCCGCGCTCTAATGCTAAAGCGATGACCTGCGGCGAAGTATTGGAAGTATAAGCTTCTGTAAGACGAAGGCGGTTGGCTGTGACCAGCCGCGTCGCAGCCGCGTTTCACATCGAACCGACCGCCTTCGTCTTGCAGGAGCTTATAGATGTTGTGCATTCCGAATACGTCGCCCGCTGGTTGCCCGTCGCTGCCTGCTCACCGTCATTTTGCAGTATAGTCGCCCGCTCACTGAAGCTGCTATTTATCGCACCATAGCCTCACCATAGCCTTTGATTGTCTGAGAACTGGACTGTCTAGGTCATAGCTGCCGTTAAAGGCAGTGGATCGGCAAAACTTAACAACGCATGATTTTAGCGCAGTAGGTTCCTTATCACCCAAGTATGAAAGCAGTGCAATCCCGGTTGCACAGCATGCCTTCCCTGCCGAGAGAACTGCTCTCGAACTTACACGCGCAAGCCAATCTTACACGCGCCCGGACGAGTTGGCAATTTCCTTCCCACCATTGGAGGCTGCCCGCCGCAATGCTATAACCATTGGATCCTGCAACGCGATTCAGCGTCATCAGCCTTGCTCCACTCGTCCAACTTCAAAGGGAAGGACATTCAAAAACGCATGTTTTCGCCATTTTCAAGCTCTCCAAAGTGCATTTTCGGGATCAGCGTATTGAATAACCCCAGGTGAGCAAAAATTTGAGTAGGTTGCGATTTGCCGAGCCAGTGCCTTTAGAGGCAGCATCCAGGCAGATCTGGACCTCTGGGGTTTTTACGTGGAAAGTACTTTTGGGGCCCCAACTAAGACACTGCCTAAGCGGCAGCTCAAGTGCTGAACTCACAGTTGAGATATCCCTCCAAACTGGACTCTGCGATAGCATCCGCATGGATTCACGGCGCCACACGAGGGTCCTCGCGCGAAACTGAACTTATGGATATCGTCACCCTCTTTAATGATCGAAACCATACTAGATAATGATGACTAAGCCTCGGACATGTCCAAAAACAACTTCTAACACACGAGTTTATCCTTACGGCATCAAAAATAAGATCAACAGTAAATATCCGCGGAATAAGTCGCTCCTCCCTCTCTGTCTGGCGTCGTCTGGCGAGCATCGGCATCGGGCAATCTGTAAACAAATCATATGGGAATGGAATGATACAGTAATGGTGTAATAATGCAAGAAAGTATTAAGTGTAGGATTACATACCGGAATATACAGATGATATCTTACACTGATGTGTCGCGCCTTGAATCCATGCCGATCCCGGGGTCCAGTTTGGAGGCGAATATCTCAACTGTAAGCACACCATTTGAGCTGCCGCTTGGGCAGTGTTTTAGTTAGAGCTTCAGGATTACCTCCAAATGCGATCCCCATAGGCCCAGATTTGCCTGGACGCTGCCTTCAAAGGCAGTGTCCGGGCAAAAAGTCGATTTTGAGATTTTGTGCCTACGCGGGCCTGTTCGCTACGCTGACTCCGAAAATGCGCATTGGAAAGCGCGAAAACGGCGAAAAAGGGCTCTAACGCAGGAGGGAAATCAGAAGTGGGCGGGGTCTTCCCCATTGTGATTTTTGCGGTCCCGGCTTCTGAAGCGATTTTCTCAACTAGCCCTCTGAGATCTCCACAGGCCAGGTGCATGACTTGAAATCGGGACCAAGAAGATCGCTCCGGAAGCTTGCAGCGTGAATCCGCAGTGAGGAAGACCCCGCCCACTTCTGATTTCTCTCCTGCGTTAGAGTTCTTTTTCGCCATTTTCGCGCTTTCTAATGTAGATTTTCGGATTCAGCATAGCGAATAGGACCGGGTAAGCACAAAATCTCAAAATCGACTTTTTGCCCAGACACTGCCTTTAAAGGCAGCGTCCAGGCAAGCCTGGACACATGCGGATCTCACGTGGATAGTAATTTTGGGGCCCTAACTAAGTCACTACCCAACCGGCAGCTCAGATAGTGCTCTAACGGTTGAGATATTCCCCTCGAAACTGGACCCCGTATTCGCATGGATTCTCGGCAGTTTCATGCGAGGATCAACGCTTTGCGCCGTGAATCCATGCAAATTACGATCGCGGGGTGTTTCGGGGAACGGTCAGGAGTCACGGTCGGCGCGAATTTTTCGCGAAGCGATGCCGCAAGCGATGTCAGCAAAACAGAAGCCAACACTCCTGGCGCAGTCTTACTTACGGCACGAGCCATGTATCTGCCCCCATCCCCCACCCCCCTAGACTGGCGCCGTGCCACTTTAGCACCGGGCAGTTTTATGGGGTACAAAATTTAGGCGCGACGTGTGCGGCGAAGCGGCGCGGCGCGCGGCGTGACTCCTGACATGGAGCCCCCAAAAGTACTTTCCACGTAAAAACCCCAGAGGTCCAGATCTGCCTGGATGCTGCCTTTAACGTATTGAAGTGCACTGGTAACATCCCAACAAATCGTTAAAATCCTCTAACTTTTTTATTACTCCAATTTGTTATTTTTGCTTCGTAAAAGTTCTGTGCAATTTTTCAGGTTTAATTCTTTGCCGACTTTGTCAATTCTCTATTTATTTTCTTATCGAATCGTTTACGTTGTGATCTTGCAAATTTGTCATAGTTCAGTAACGCAACTAGCGCTCTAAAAATCTTCCAGAAGACCAAAATAGGTATGTTAGAAAGGTGCAAATCCGAGCATAATCAGCGTTAGCAGCATGAAGCGGGTGTAGGGTAATTCGCAAGACCGTTATGCTTTCTACACAGGACCACCGCCGTCGCGACACATCCTGCGGCGGCTTCCCTAAGCAAAGCAAGGGGAGGAAAGGTTTGCGACATGCGTGACGTGTTCAGACAAGTAAATCAGAGTGGCGCTTGCCGCTCGTGCGAAAAGACGTCTCCCGCATGAAGCAGTTGAGAGAAGCTCACGAAAAGTGAGCTTCATATCGCGTAGCAGCGAGGAGCAGCAACGAACAGCAGGGTGCAGCAAGCAGCACAGCATCGCTAGCTACTCTAGCGGGTGTGTATCGCGTTGGCTGGCGTCAATCGATACGCACAAAAGGCGTTGCTGCTGCCAGTGTTTTATCGTCAGCTATAGCAACCCATCGTCAGGTAAATTTCAACTCGAAGGATATCCTTCGAGTTGAGATATATGATCGGCTCCCAGATTCGTGTGGAGGTGTATTTCAGACTTTACCTGATAACACATAAACTTGCTAAACCTCCACGTCATAGCATTGCTTTTCGTAATCTCTCGCTAGCAAAAACCGCCACGCGGTGAGTTGGCAAGACTCCACCTCCACACGAATCTGGGAGCCGATGATACCTGACCAAACATATCGTCCCCTCCACAGATCGTGCTACCCTTGTGGCGTCCCGGACGTGCCACGTGTGACTAACACATTGACAACTTTGGCAGCAACACGTTGGCAACATGCAGCAACATGTTGGCGTGGCCAAAATGTTCTGCCAACATGTTGAGGCATGTTGCAAACATGCTGTTGCCACGTTGCCAACATGTTAGCCACACGTGGCAGATCTGAGACGCAGACCAAGGGTAGCACGATCTGTGGAGGGGACTATATGTTTGCTCCTAAATAAAATCCAGGATGGGGACGCCAAAGGTTGAGAGTGTGTGTAATGACACACATGATCATAAGAATTCGACTGTACTTCTTCTTCTGTATCGCTAGATCTTGGCCTTCCTTTTCCTAGTGTGCTTCTCATCTTCGTACTCCTACTATAAAATCTTCACTAGTTGCAGAAATTTTGTGTTTGGAAAGTTCATCCTGCCTAGAACCTTCGCAGGCGTTCGCGCATGCGTTATAAAATTTTGACTTCTTGTAGAATTGTAGGAAGGCATGTAAATGCCTTTCCTGGCGAGCAGTCGGTCAGAGTTTTGTTCTGAACACATAATACCTCAAAGATTCAGAAGTCTGGAATATCAGCATGAGGACTGACTTGCACGTGCAAGCACAACGTTTACTCGAAAATCTTGATTGCGTCCTTGTTGATACAGAAGAAGAAAAAAAGTGAGTTATGGCATATTTTGTACTTTGCATACAAGGCTTTTGCAGGCTTTTGGAAGGGGTCGTTAGCCGCTTTGCTAACAGCGGAGAAGGTGCTGCTTGCGTGGTAGTAGGTGAGACAGGCAGTGCCCGAACGACTTCGGTGAGAGATGCGGTGTTGGGGTTTGACCTTGATGCAAAGTTGCAGTTGATTAGTCTAGGTTAGGAACAAATATTTTATTGACAATGTTTGTGGGTGTATGATTATGCATCTGGAATTATTCATGCAAATCCGGTTTTAAAAACGGCCATATATCTCTCACATACTTATAGCCCATCTTGGTTCGGACATAAACGCTTTGCAGCTGTTGGTTGACGCAACAGATATGAATGTAAGTTAATTACAGTGCGTTTCTTCCTTTTTCGACATGAGAATCTCGCTGGTTGACGACGAGCGCAACTCCTTCCAGAAATGCGTTTTGATTGTGGAAGATGCTGACGAGTTGGCCAGTCGCCAACGTCAGTCATTGCTTTATCTGTTGCTAGATATGACTAGAAGACCTAGCAGTGGTCAGTGGTTAGTATTTCTTATGGTGCAACATCAGGTATATGGTTTCTCGTTCTCTTTATTCTTCTGTTCATAAATTTCTATCATAGAACTTCATAGCATCACTCGAAAAGAGAGTTCGTTCTCGACTGTCAACTGCACGATTGTTATTCCATCCAGCTTTGACAATCGGTGAATACCTGGGAGCTTTCAAGACCTTCTTGAGTTTTGAACAAGGAGTAGGATGTGCAGGTAGGAATTTGTAGAAGGTCTCTTGATTTTCAGCAAGATCCATACGGAGATTTAGATTGGGAGGATTTTGTGCACATGCTTTTTTCTCATCCAAAAGTTATCAAGGAACTCAACTATTTGTATTCAGTATGTTTTCGTTTTTTCTTCTTATTCGTTGATAATTTTCTTTAGGGTAAGTGTAGCGCAGAAATTTTTGTTACATCTCGATTCCTTTATAATCGCCTGAGAAAGCTAGAAAAGAAGGAAAGCTACAAGACATATACAGTATCACAGTATGTGTCAACCACGTGCTCCCTTTTCCGTAACAACTACGCATCCGCAAGCTTGAGCATTCAGCGATCTCCCATCGATGCGGCAAATTTGAACGCTCAAGCGGTACGCTCGCGAGCGCGGCACGGGGCTCTAGCGTTGTGCTTGAGCTGATCGGAAGAGGAGCATAGTTGGCACAGACTGTATATTCCTGCGCGAAGTGTCCGCATAAGTCTTTGCGCACAGACGATTATGGTTTGTCATCAGCGATATCAACATGCGTTAGGGCTATACGCGGTCGTTCGCATGCTTCCTACATTAACAGCGCACGACACGTGACCAGATATGTCAAGAGCCCGCAATGAACTCCTCCCCACCGTATGGATGACCTCACTGATGTAGATACGGATGGATCAACGCATTGTGACTGCATTTTGAGTGTTTGAAACAATCAATATTCAATGCACGCGTGGATGCAAATGGGTGTGTAGAGTGCCGAAATTGAAGGGCGTGTTTCTGTGAGTGCTAAAAGCGCACAAGACGGGCTTAAAGGCAGCGTCCAGGCAGACCTAGACCTATAGATCTCATTTTTAGGGTAATCTTGGAGCCCTAACTAAAACATTGCCTAAGCGGCAGCTCAAATCGTAAACTCACAGCTGAGATATTTGCCTCCAAACAGGACTCCAGGATCGTATTCGCATGGATTCATGACAGTTTCGTGCGAGGACCCACGCGTTGCGCCAAGGATTCATGCGACCCTTGAGTCCAGTTTCGCGAATACCCCAGCCGAGAGCACTACCTGAGCTGCCGGTTGGGCAGTGGCTTAGTTAGGACCACAGAATTACTATCCACGTGAAATCCCCGTGTGTCCAGACTTGCATGGACGCTGCCTTTAAGGGCGGATCAAGCATGCATCGTAATGCGATAGTCAGATCAGAGTGTGACTGCTTTACCTTTCTAAAAAATCTCGAATCCTCTCGTCAACTGAAGTGTACTCTGTACGCAGGCATAAATTCACAAATCTATGCGATATACTTCTGAAAATTTTTCTCTTGTTGCAAAATTGCGCGCTAAATTAGAGCAAGCGCCTCTGACACTGTTAAGTACGGATTTTGAACTTTTAAAGAGGGATTTTCAATGGAAAAAAAAACTCTTGCGAAGCAGCATATTCAGAAATAGTATTTTGGTCCCCCAGAGTGCGCGTGAGAATCACAAAATGTATCCTATATCAGTTCTAAAACCGTTGTCTTGAATCAGTCTTGATGGATACTCTTCACATGTCTCATAAATACCGATTATGAAAATGTATTTGCAAAAGAAGTACATGCGTACGAGCAAACTTATTTTCGAAAAAAAAAGTGGTGAGAAGACATGCATAACTTTTACCTGGAAAGTTATGCATGTCTTCTCACCGCTTTTTTTTCGAAAATAAGGTCTTTGCTCGTACGCATGTACTTCTTTTGCAAATACATTTTCATAGTCGGTGTGTACAAAAAACTGAACAAACTGCAACCTCAGTTTGGGATCAGAAGGGATTTGAGTTTAATCAGCTGCAGAGCAAATGTGAATGTATGGAGATTGGAGATTTTTCTGTTGAAAACCACCATTCTTCATTTTTGAGTAGCGGTCTCTTTGAATCCTAAAAATGACGTATATTTGAGCTCAGATTTCTCATTGGTTTTTTTTCGTGATGGTCGCGCAGCTGTAGGCGCTAGTTACTCAGACACTCGCACCGGCCGGCGGCCGTTCGACGGCCGGCTGGTGGGACCACAGGTGATTTCACTCAGCCGCGTAGTCTACGACCACCGGCCGGTATTCGGACGGCCGCCGGCCGGAAAGGTACGGCCGCCAGCCGGTATGTGGGCGCCGCGATACGAAATGGCCATGTGACGCGGTTTCTCTTTTTCCGTATTTATTTCGCTCTGGCGCCTATCCTCAATACAAGCAAATACAAATCCGTATGAATATATTTATTGTAACTGCATCATATAGGGAAACATACATAAATGAGATTGAATAATAGCGTAAAGTCTCATACAACATGCAACTAGCGCTACAAATTTGGACGCTTCTTTTTGTACACGGAAGACGAGGTTTTCTTGCATGGTACAGTCGAGTAGATTTCCTGCTTAATATAGTGTCCCTGCAGACGCGACAACGCTGGGACGTCAATAATTGCCTTGCGAGTTCCCGAGCTAGAGTTTTCCAGTGTTTTCTTTGCTTATTCTGTTTTTAGGTGATTCGTTGCTGATAAAGAAGAAAAGGGTAACTTAGAGAGTAGTTTCTGTTTTCTGAGAAGTTCTATCATCGCATATTCACAGATATCCACGTGGAAGCATTTCGCGTCAGCTTTTTGTCTATTTTTTTTTGTCATTTCCTTTTCTTCTTTCACTTCTTCTTTCGAACCTTCGTCTTGTGAGGCGCTTCTTTGAACGCTAGTTGGCTTGTCTTGCAGCAACTTCGGCTTTCACCCATAAGAAATGGCATTTTAATCAAGTACTTCATGTGATAAAGACAATAGGTCAATCGCAAAAACCCACTAGCGTTCAAAGAAGTACTTCATAAGAAGAAAGAGACATGAAGTAACAAAAAAAATAGACAAGAAGCTGACGCGAACTGCTTCCACGCGGATATCTGTGAATATGCGATGATAGAATTTCTCAAGAAACAGAAATACTCTCTAACTTACCCTTTTCTTCTTTATAAGCAACGAATCACCTAAAAACATAGAATAAGCAAAGAAAACACTGGAAAACACTAGCTCGGGAACTCGCAAGGCAATTATTGACGCCCCAGCGTTGTCGCGTCTGCAGGGACACTATATTAAGCAGGAAATCTACTCGACTTTACCATCCATTCGCAACAAGGGCTCGCATTTCGTCCTTCTGCTGATTCCAGACTGAAAAAAAGTTCACTTCTGTATCATGTAAATGCCACATAGCAGACGGTCTGCAAATGAGATAAGCTACCCTCGATATCAACCCATATGTCTTCCCTCAACATGACGTGAATTACATGGATTTACATGGATTGGTGAGACGCCACCTCGCTTCAAGCTTGCGCCACGCGTTGCGTGCGCCTCTTTGGCATGGTGTGGCAAGAAGAACAACATTATTAAGCCTGGTCCATCTTATTTAGTGCACCAGGTCACGCCAAACGATGCGCCCGTAATGTGGCGCAAGCCGAAGCGAGGCGGCGCCTCACCAATCCACATAATCCACGTCATTGAAGGAAGACATATGGGTTAATATCGAGGGTACTTACAAATGATCCCGTTAACACCAAAACTTACCGACGGTGTTATATATGACTGGGCAGAGCAAATCAAAAAGCTCAAGCAATTGTAGCAGACAAGTAATGAACGTTGTTTTCCCTGAAACACACAAGGACTAGTTCCAAATTTTTGATAAGAACGCACCTGTCTTGTGGAGTCTATACTAGGAGTTAGGCGTAAGGTCAGTAGTCTTGCAGCAGAACACAAACTAGATAGATTCCAATTCTCATAGAATGTGTGACATGTAGTACACACGTAATCCATGAATGCATAGTGCTGAGATACATAAAGAGTTAGTCGAAAGGTCATATGCTCCATCATGGGTAAGGATGATAACAGCGAGTACAAGCAATGGTGCGCTGGTTGCATAGCGCAAGATCTCAATACCATGCATATCGCATTCGTCTCCTGAAAAAGATGGTTATGAAACGTGCCCATTCGTTCTTTTTTGTTTAGTCAAGAAGCTGAGCGAAATTCAAGCCTTGTACTCCTCAGGTATGTTCCAGCTCTGCGTGTCACTTCTTTATCGCCATACAAGACAAGCAACAAATATGAAAAAGGCGCTACAGATATCATGGGGATTTTCTTTTGATTGTGAAAAAGAGGGCGGTATTAGCAAAGATAGAGTAAGATCACTACGGATTTCTAGGTATTTTTGAGTGACATGCATACAAAACCTTCTTCTAACGATAAATTACGTAAACAAGACATGAATGAAGTAGAAAAATGGCGCTTAATCATAAACGAGGAGAAGTAGAGCGTTTGCTTACGCGGTCAATCATGCAACTTTCAAATCCCGTTCATTTCCCGCGACATGGCAATGTTACCGGCTGGCGGCCGTTCGAGCGGCCACCAGCCGGTAGATTTCTTTGGAGCGGTCGCCGGCCGGTATTTAGCTCCGCCCAGATTTAAAGAGCGGCCGCCGGCCGGAAGGCCGTCGTCGGACGGTCGCCGGCCGGTGCGAGTGTCTGAGTAGCCTGGCGCAACCTGGGACGTAGTCTGCATCGCGATGTTCCTTTTTCGTCGACACATCTCCCTCGCCAGAGGCTTGCGTCATCGTGAGCGTATGTTTTCACACGTGTCTTCACAACTTAGATTGAGCCTGCACACTGTGCGCAGCAACCCAACGACAACTTACTAGTAACTCAACAAAACCATTTTTAACCGGAAACTATGACCAAAAGAGAGAAGAAAATTCAAAGAATTTCTGAAAATCAGTGGGTTTTGAAATTGTAAAGTAGCGTACGTGGTGTCCAGTGCGCATAATAAGTTACAATAATATCCTTTGCTTCAATCGGATCGACGGCTAGAAGACGAGGCTCCGTGACCTAATTAAGGCTAGAAAATGATCAGAGCATGTTCGCGAGGAAGGCGCAGACTGCGTCGCGATGCGAGAAGTCGCCTCCTAGGTTATGAAGCCCCGCCTTCCAGCATGCAATCTGGTTGAAGCAAAGAGTACCAAATTTCTCTACCCGTTCGTCCGCCTCGGGAATTAATCTGGCATTATCCCACAGATTTTGACGTTGGATCAGAGAGAATCAAATAAAGCATTATTTTGCACTTACACGACCGAAATAAAAAAAAATGCTATTTTGATGCTCAT